GGTGGCAGTTGTGATTTGAATGCTAACGTGAGCGTGAGGTTAAGTTCACGCCTTCCTTCATTTATGAGTTATGACAAGTTTTCAAAAATTGAATTGTTAGATCACATGTGGGTGAAGAAAAGGCCAAGTTTTTTTGTGTTATTTACGAAAATGATATCTGATATTCAACAGTCAGTACCATGGTTTCAAATTTTGTGTCCATCCAAAAATGCACATCCTTGATCCCATAAAAGATTAAAGAACTAATGTTGTCATGCAAGGTTTGTCGTTACAAGAATTATGGGTTCTTTTTCTTTATTTATTTAATTGATATAATTTTTTAATTCAATAATTAAATGTGAAGAATTTTATTTCTTCTTATGCTTGATGGTAAATTAAGTTAGTCGATGATATGGTTTTTGATTTGAAGAGTGCTATTACTTATTTGGGTAAAGTACACTAACACCCCCTGAGGTTTATCAAAAGGACAGCCAGATAAAACTTGCTCTGTTTTGGGACAATGACACCCCCTCATAATATTTGCAAGCCAAACAGAGCCTTAAAACATATGAAAAGTCAACATTACCCTTCACTATTTTATTAATTTTAATTATAAAATATTAAAATAATTAAATGACCAAATTACCCTCAACACCCCCATCAATCCTACAACCGGATTCTGCAGCAACCACACCAAAACTCCACAACCACCAACACCCACCCCCAAACCACCGTGCCTTCAAGCTCTCCAATGGAAGGGAAGGATCAAGCTTTTGGTCTATCACCATGGCAATGTGAACAACTTTAAAAACACCATGGCAACGTCAACAACTTCACCTCATCCTCTCTTCCTGAAAAACCCTAACCTTCACCTTCTCAAAAGCCCCAACACAATCACCACCACCCACTTCAATGGCTTCCCCCTCAACCTATCTTCGTGCCTCAACAAACCCATATCGATCACCTATTCAACAACCCAAGTCCAAGATCACCCAACCCCCACCTCCCAATCCCAAGATCGGGTCTTCAATTTCGCCGCCAGTCCAGCCACTCTACCTGAAAACGTGCCCAAGATGGCCAAATCTGAGCTCTAAAATTGGCGTGGAACCAGAATGAGCGTGATGGAAATGAGCCACAGAGGGAAAGAGTTCCTCTCAATCATCCAGAAAGCAGAGTCAGATCTGCGTACCCTTCTCAGCATACCCTCCGATTACGCAAGGCGGCGCAACCACCCAGTTCTCTGCGATCCCTCTCAATCTGTTGAAACCTCATTCTCTTCTTCTGGGTCGCGGGAACTGTTCGTGCTTGGGGTTCGTCGATCTGAACTAGGCTTCACCGGATTTGGGGCTCGCTGGACAGAATCAGGTCTTGTAGTTTGAAGCTTCGTCAGACTGATAGCTCCAATTTTGTGCGCTGCCGTGGGATATATCAAGACCTGACAGAAAGAATCAACCAAGCGAGAGCACTCACCGTCGCCCTCGTCGAACAACTATTGCCACCGCTGCCATTAAGCCCAACTCATGACTTGCGTACTCCGGCGTTGGGTAAGCTCACCGATGGAATCGAAGGATAAAGGCCCGCATCCATTCACCATCGCCACCTGTCTATACATACATATATGTGTGTGTATATATATATATGTATTTGTATATACATATATATATATATGTGTATGTGTCTGTGTATATATGTATGTGTGTGCGTTGGTGTTGGGGCGGCGGAAGAGAGAACAGAGGAGAGAGAGAGAAATTGGAACGGGTATCTGAGGATAGAATTGTCATTTCATGGTCAATATAAAAGTCAAAGGACAGAAATGTCAACTCATTACCATTGGGGTGTCTTTGGTTATTATATCAAACTTGAGGGGGTGTCTTTGTCCCAAAATAGGTTAAGTTTCATCTGGCTGTCCTTATCCCAAACCTCAGGGGGTGTCAGTGTACTTTACCCTACTTATTTTTAGTTCCGGTTATTATTTTATATATATTTTTTTGTAAAAATGCAATTACAAATAATAATTAATCAGGTGTCATGTCTAAGACATCTAAAAAAACTTTTTCATAATAGGTTAATTTGTTGATGGGATGAGAAAGAAAAAAGTTTAAAAAAAAAAAAAAATGCTAATATGACTATGTAAAAGAGTCATGTAAATGTGACAATAAAACTTAAAATACTACACCTTATGTATATTTTACAAAAAAAAAAAAAAAAAAAAATTTAACACACTGTTAAAGATGTTCTTACAATGACTGTTTAGCAACAATCAGTCTTCTAATTGATCTATATTAAATCATCATCAATTACAATTTTTCTATTTGTATGACATATTTAAGATATATATATATATATATATATATATATATGACTTTTAACCATTTCTTTCCCTTTTGCTTGATTGTCTGTGTATATTCTGTGATATTTATTAATTTATTTAAATAGAATGTTTTGAAACGCTGTAATTTTAAGGCACACTATAAGACCACATAATTTCCTCAACAGGAAGGGATCCAAGTCGGAATATGCGTGCAGCTACATTCATTTTTATTTATTTTTCAATTGTTTATGTATTATATATATCACTTGCTAAGTTGCTATCTAGCGGGCGCTCAGTCTCTCTTTGTATATAAAGGTTTAGGGTTTAGGTAGTTTTGTCATAAAAAAAACTATATCTTTATAAATAATAATGGTTTAATATAGGAAATTAAAAAAAGTGTTAATGATTTCATTGGTGAGGGAGAAAAATGTAATTGTTGCTAGCAATTAAGTAGCCTTCAAAAAAGAATTATGTTTGGGAATCTGATTCCTTAACTAATTCTACAAAAAATCTGACTTTTAGTTTGTACCTCATAAAATTGAAATGTTTCAATCTATTTTTAAGAACATGCAACAATTACAGTGATTGTCATCGTAGTCATAGTTGTTGGTAGCACGTCAGTACATTATTTCATGTTCAATAATTCAATTATGGAGACACTTCCACCTTAACACCTCATATAGGAGTTATATCTTTTTCTTGCACGTCATTTGTATTCAATAACTTGGATATAAATTTAAGATTTAATCCAATAATTAGTTAACGAATTCAAATTTAATAATTCGTTTAATTAAATAAATTAGATAAGCGTTGCGATTTTTTTATTTGTCTTTGACATTCTATTATTTTTATTCTAATCATTATTTGCCATTCTCTTTTGATATTAAATATTTTTTTAATTACACCCTCTGTCAAATCATAAAATCGAATATTAAAAAAATAGTTATAATTAAAAAAGTTTCCAAATATGATTTGAATCGGATCAATTTACAGGTCTACATCATTCTCAAAATCTTACATTGTTGGATGGTGGTACAATTTACCCATCTTGTAAGCCCAACACCCTTTTCATCCCATGTGAGAAAAGAATCTCCACGTTGAATTTTGGATTTGAATCCAAATTAGTGTTCATATCAGATTAGAAAATCTAAATTACAGTATGTATAAGCTTTTATTATATGATATTATCTCGTCTCATATTAATTGTTCATTTCAAAAACTTTAACTCAGTGCCACATTTTATTTTTGAGCCATTTGAGCTATTTTTAATCATATTATTTTTATATACTTATATATTATCTATATCTCATATAAGATGTCAATTTTCACAAAAATTGTTAATTAAATTTTTTGAAATGAATAACTAATATGGAACGTATGTAGTATTTTTCTTGGAAGCTAAGTAAAAAAAAAAGGTTTAGTTTCTACATCTAGACAATATAGACCCACAAAAACCATAGCATACAAGCTTTTGGACTGTGGATTCAAGTTCTATGCTCATTGCGAAGATATGTGAAGTATTCGAAGATTTGTTTTTCGTTTCAGAGTGAAAATATTTTGAGGTAACCCGAATATGCTTCCACACTTTAATTTCTTTGGATTGAGAATCTCTTTTTCTTTTTACTTTTCGTTCTAACACTATGAAGAGAGTCTTTATTTTGAAAACTTTTTTGTCAATTATTTGCAAATCAAGAGAAACTTTTTTCTTTTTTTCACAATTGAGATAGAACTCATACATACCATTGTTAGATTAATCTAAGGATCTTCTTTCTCAAAAGTAGAGCCGTGTTTGGGCGCCTCCCATTGTAAACCAAATGGGATCCCCTAAAAAGCAAAGGACAAACTCAAAAGCCAAACTCCACCTTTTAACTCACCCTGTAAACACCGCGCTGCGCGAGTTCAAATCTCAAAAACGCTCCCTTCGACGTCGTTTGTCACATCCCCAGAGCCAGGTCATTTTCGAAATTTCCTCCAAAACTAGGCCCATATCCCCATAACCTAAATGGCTAAATCCATCAGACTGCGATTTTGTAGCAGTAAAAAAATCTGCAAAACAAAGTAAAAACTGATTACTGTGGTCAACTTCGGGATTCGTGTAACACTAACACTTCATTGTATTGTATTTTTACGTGAAATATGAAAATCACTGACACTGAAGTGATTGCATATATATATATATATATTTAGGGAAAATTACATATACATGGAGTCAAAGTTTCATATTTACTTAGAGACTGAGTCAAAGTTCCATATTTCTCTAAAATGGATTGCTGAGGTGGCACATGGTTTTTTACTATTTAGAAAATTATGGTGCCTAAAATGCCCTTTCCTGACAAAAAAGTAGTACCTTCAGTGTAAAAAAGTAGTACCTTCAGTTCAAAAAAGTAGTACCTTCGGAGAAAAAGTAGTACCTTCGCGGGTGTTTAAAAAACATGGTACCTGGACGCCAAAAAGTAGTACCTTCAGTTCAAAAAAGTAGTACCTTCGAAGAAAAAGTAGTACCTTCGTGGAAGGGTATTTTAGGCACCACAATTTCTAAACAGTAAAAAATCATGTGCCACCTCAGCAATCCATTTTAGAGAAATATGGAACTTTGACTCAGCCTCTAAGTAAATATAGAACTTTGACTCCATTTATATGTAATTTTCCCATATATTTATATATCTATATCTACACACACATATGTATGTATATATGTGTAGTACTACTATGATATTTTGGGGATATAATTACAGCCTCGGTGAGTTAGTTGTGTTGAATTGAAACCCTAAACAGTTGATTACTACGGCTACTACTACTACTATTTCGCGTTTGGATCTCTCCTCTTGTCTTCCACTCGCTTGCATTTTGCATTTAATCTCTCTCTGAGTCTGTACCACTCTCTCTTTCTCTCTCTCTCTCTATCGGTTGCTGTTTTGATGTGAAAGCAGAGGAAGAACAAAACAAACAAAATCGATACCAGTACCAATCGCAACAATAATAGAGTAGTATTGCCCTCTCTTTTCGGACTTCAAACCACCATGTGCTCAAACAATGTCACAACTTTTCTTTCAATGAATTCAGTAAGCTCACTCTTCTCTATTTTTTTTACTATATCTATTAGCTGTTGTTCTATCTTTATCTATATATTATAGGTGTATATATGTGTTGTGAATGTGATTTGATATTTTGGATTTTGGATTTTGATTGTATTTTGGGAATGTGATTTGATATTTTGGATTTTAGGTTTTGCAGGTGTGCGAGGCTCTGATTACTGTATGATTCTGTTTGATTAGGCTGAAATTTGAGTTTTGTAGCCGAAGATTCTACAGTTTTTGGTGTGGTATTGGTGATTTGGTGATTGATTTTTGGGTGAGCTTGTTTGTCTAAATTCGGTGTTCAGTCGCATTCCACTTAATTTTAGAGAGAGAAAAAGATTTTTAGTGAGAGAAGAGTGTTTTGATTTTTGGATCTGGAAAACAGCTCATATGCATGGATATTTCAAGTTTGACTATGTGATTTGAAGGCTTGTAAGGATTTTGGGGTCGACTTTGATGCTCTGTCGTTTGTGTTGTCGCATATCATGTGCCAAGCAGTGTTCTGAAACTTCAAACAAGTCTGAGCTCCCATCAAAACTTTTGGATTCATTAGGTTCTGCAATAGAGGTTTTCTGCAGATCTATTCAAGAGATCTGCACTGGTTGCTATATTTGGAAGATTGGAGTACACATTTCTCTGGTTGTGTAAACGCAACATCAAATTAAATTGAGTTGTTGTGAGCTTTGAGATTCTTTAAGTTTGGGTAAAATAGCTTAAACCCTTGCTAATTTTGATTTTCTTGAGAGAGTGGTGGTGAAAAGGGTCTTGTCATTTTGAGCTTCTCTGGCTTGGCAGTGTCACAGAACAGTGAGATGTCGGCGGTACATGTATGAGAATCATTGCTTTGTGGTGGGAGCAAAGTACACAATAATGCAAATTATGTTTTGTTGTCGTTGTTGTTTTATGTAGACATTGTATGCTTTTTTGGATTCCTGGGGTTGTGTTCTTTTGTGAACATATGATATTCATGGGTTTGGAGGGTTGGATTGTTTAAGAGAGGAGTTTGGGTACTATTTTTCTTTGCTAATGAATAGGGAAATGAAGCGGGGGAAGCAAGAGAAGGAGTCGGACGTCGCGGAGAAGGTTGTCGTTGCCGTTAAGGCAACCAAGGAGATTCCCAAGACTGCTCTGGTGTGGGCTTTAACTCATGTTGTTCAACCAGGGGATTGCATTACATTGCTAGTTGTTGTCCCTTCGCAAAGTTCGGGTACCTTTCTCTGCCCTCCTTTTCATCTCCTTGCTCTCTAATTGCAAATTCTTTTTTGTTCATGATGCCAAATTATTTCAGTAATATTTTTCATGCACCTTGTTATGTTTGATCTTTTGTCGCATAATGATTTCCTTTCCTCTTTATTTGCAAGGGGCAAAGTACTGATCATTTGGTTAAATTTTGTATATGTGCCTTATGGAGGGCAATTTTGTCATGGTTGAATGTATTAAACACTCAGCTATCTAGTTATCTAGTTGATAATTGTTGTCATAACAGGAAAGTAATCCAGATATTTCCATGGTTTATAAAATGGATTTAGTGCTAGATCTTTCCTCGGTTTGATTTTATGCTACTCTGTCTTATTTGATCCCAGGCATTAGCTCGGCTGCTCATTTGGTGTGTTTTCTGTGTAATCAGATTAGTTGTCTTCTCTGTCTGATTAGCTTGCAATTTTCTTATGGTTGCATAAGGGAAAAGAAGAGTCTCTTATTGTCTTCTCTGTCTGATTGGCTTCCTTTTTTTTATTATGGTTGCATAAGGGGACAGAAGATCCTCTTATTAAGTATCTCTTCAGTCATTAGAAGATATGAGTGTCTCTCCCCCCTCCCCCCCGCGCCCTTCTCTTTGGTTTCCTTAATTGGAATTTGGAATTCTGTGATTTTCTGTATGTGGCACATTTTGAACTTGTTTGGCTTCATATGAGTATCAGAGTATTGTTACCAAGTAATTAAGCTGTAATTATGATTTACATTGGGAATGAAGTCTCTGGTATAATACCTGTCTTGCAGTTTTTGACATATATATATATATATATATATTAGGAAGTTTTTCAGTTTTTGATTTTGTGCTGGGAAGATCCTTATGATCATCATTTCCATGTCTTTATCATCTATTTTGAGTACTTTATGGCAACTAAAGATTCAAAAAACCTTTGACAGATACAATACTGACAATCATCTATATCTCCTATTCTTCAGGCAGGAAATTATGGAATTTTCCTAGATTTGCAGGAGACTGTGCCATTGGCCACCGAAAGTCTCATTCGGGAACAAGTTCAGAACCGAAATATGACATTACTGATTCCTGCTCCCAGATGATCCTTCAGCTTCATGATGTTTATGATCCTAATAAGGTTGATTCCTCAATTTATATTTTCATGTCAAGTGTCATACCTTCTCAGTGGTTGCTGATTTGTGTTTATTTCTTGATTCTGTTTCATAGATAAATGTGAAGATAAAGATTGTTTCTGGGTCACCATGTGGGGCAGTGGCTGCAGAAGCAAAGAGAACTGAAGCTAATTGGGTTGTACTGGACAAGTAATTTTCTTTGTTTTGAGGCATGCAATTAATATGTACCAGATTATGAAGTGATATTGGTTTCAAAAATCATTAAAAAAAAATATTTTTCTTTTTAATTTCTTCATTAAGTTAGTAGCCTTAGCCACTAATTTTTTAGTTTACCAAACATGGTCTAGCTTTTCAATTTATGTTCCTTCTGTGATTCCTTTTGTCATTTATTGCAGAGAGCTCAAACATGAGGAAAAGCGTTGCATGGAAGAGCTGCAATGCAACATTGTGATTATGAAACGCTCCCAGCCAAAAGTTTTGCGCCTAAACTTGGTCGGATCACCCAAGAAGGAATCTGAAACAGCTTGTCCGTTACCTTCTGAACTAGATCAATCATCTGAGAAACAGTCTAAAAACAAGACTGATGATGCAAACTCCATTCGAGGACCTGTTGTGACTCCAACCAGTAGTCCAGAGCTGTTTACTGCAACTGAAGTTGGAACGTCATCAGTATCAAGCTCAGATCCTGGAACTTCTCCATTTTTAATCTCTGAAATAAATGGAGACCTGAAGAAAGAGGAATCATTGAGCACAAAAGAAACTCTGGATCATGATGAATCAAGTTCTGACACAGACAGCGAAAACTTGTCTCATTCTTCAGCAAGTTTAGGGTTCCAGCCATGGATGGCGGAAATTCTCAGTTCTCATCGCCAATCCTTGCAACACTTTGAAGAAAGCTCACAAAGATCAAGCAATAGGACTCAGAATTCCACAACCAAGGGTTTTCTAGAGAAATTCTCTAAACTTGATCGAGATGCTGGATACGGAATGACAAACTATAGAACTGATCAGGATTTCAGTGGAAATGTGCGGGAAGTAGTTTCTCTATCCAGAAATGCACCTCCTGGCCCCCCTCCTCTGTGTTCAATATGTCAACACAAGGCTCCCGTGTTTGGAAAGCCTCCTAGGTGGTTCACTTATGCTGAGCTGGAGCTTGCTACTGGAGGGTTTTCACAAGCTAATTTCTTAGCTGAAGGAGGCTTTGGATCTGTCCACAGAGGGGTTCTCCCAGATGGCCAGGCGGTTGCTGTCAAGCAACATAAATTGGCAAGTTCTCAGGGGGATCAAGAGTTTTGCTCTGAAGTGGAAGTCCTAAGTTGTGCTCAGCACCGAAATGTTGTTATGTTGATTGGATTCTGCATTGAGGACAGGAGAAGGTTGCTGGTTTATGAATATATATGCAATGGTTCCCTAGATTCTCATCTATACGGTAATTTCTACCCCACTGGAATACTCAATGCTATTACTGCAAATGCAATGCCTATGCAGCAATGACTGGCCAATGTAATTTGTTATCATTGTGAATAAGTCTCCTGCCAGCCGATTTTAAGCCAAAAATATATAAAATTAGCATAAAGATTTAAGAAAAACCTGGGACTTATTTGATTGTTGTATCTTGTATGTAAGTCTGATGGATTTCCTAAGAGCGTCTAGCTTATTAACTATTTTGCTGTCTTACACTAGTTCTTGGCAATTGGCATTACAAACCTCTTTCTTCCAATCAGTGAAGCATAAAAACTTCGACAGAATGTGAAGATTTAGTCTCTAGAGCTTGACTAGTATTACTGCTTGAAGTAAAAAAACTTTGAACAAGTACTTGACTTTTCATTTCTTAAAGTACACCTTGTTTGTAGGTTCATCACTATCAATATTTGGAGCATAAAACATTTAAAATGTTTCAATTAGATTGTTTCTCTTTTCCTATAATTGTAGCTAAAATGATTTTGTTACTTTCAGGACGTCATCGAGAACCATTAGAATGGTCTGCGCGCCAAAAAATTGCTGTGGGAGCTGCTCGAGGGCTGCGGTATCTTCATGAAGAATGCAGAGTGGGTTGCATTGTTCATCGTGACATGCGGCCCAACAACATCCTCATCACCCATGATTTTGAACCACTGGTATGGCAATTCTTAAACTTCCTTCTAATAGTTGAGAAGTCTAGATCTTGAATGTATTTTCATTTTCATATATTCGTCGTATTCGTTGCATTCTTTCGACCTCCCCCTCAAACAATAAGAAGGAAGAACAAAAATAAAGAAATTTCTCAGGAAAACATTATGGATGTTCTAATTTATTAAACTTAATGAGGGCATCTTCCAGTCTGTAAAAAGAACTTCTCATCATACTGTACAGTTTGAATGTGGAATCATGATCAAATTATCTGCTATAAACAGTCAATTTCTTAAAGGATATATTAGAGGTTTGGGATAAATTGTTTAGGTAGGAAAAACATTTATTTCTATTTGGCAAACTGGCGGACTTAAAATAGTTGACATTTCAGTAAGATGTTCTGTAACTACTCTTTTGTAGGAAAAATTGGCTCCCCCTGGGTACTAAGAAATTCTTACTTCTGTTATCTTGTTTCTTTTATTTTTTTATATGAATTTCAGCATATACACAAGTGACCATCGATTCAGTGCTTCACATGGTTTACTTCATATTTACTCCTAGCACATACTTGAGAGTTGTATAGTATTGGTTGAAGAACTAATATATAAGAAACTGCTGTAGAGAATGTGTCATCGATGGTTAATGCAAATCATTCATCCTGATTTGTTAATCTAGGATATGGATAAAATTAAATGAACTGAAAATGTGTAGTGAGTTATATAAATCTATTAATTATGAAAATAAGAGGAACTCATATCTTTATGGATCACCGTTCGAAGTAACTAAGAACCAAAAAATTTGTTATAATTACAATACACAAACACAAATTACAAATTATTTTATATGCTGGAGATTACCACTATCAATAATTATCTAGGAGAAGGTGTTTGTTAATCTAGGATATAGATAAAATTAAATGAACTGAAAATGTGACGTGAGTAAGATGGATGTATTTCTTTACGTGAATTGCTATTTAGACATTCAAGAATGTAAGCGTAGATGCAACTAAAATTTACTTTCATAATGGTAATTCCTTCAATAATTGAGTAAGTTTTTCTTGATTACATTCTTTTCATTTTTTAAATTGGCATTTTCAGTGTGCAATGTATTTTCATGAACGTAAGTTGTAACGTGTCGCAAACTAAATCAAATTATTGGTTTGCTAGGTTGGAGACTTTGGCTTGGCGAGGTGGCAGCCTGACGGAGACACTGGTGTGGAAACAAGAGTAATTGGAACATTTGGGTATGTATTGAGATGTAGCTTTTAGTTGTCTTGGACCATCTTTGTGATAATAGAACTCAACTATACTATTCTGTTCATTGTAGGTATCTGGCTCCAGAATATGCTCAAAGCGGCCAGATCACTGAAAAAGCTGATGTTTATTCGTTTGGTGTTGTATTGGTGGAGCTTGTTACCGGACGAAAAGCTGTGGACCTCAATCGGCCAAAGGGCCAGCAGTGCCTCACTGAATGGGTATATTTTTGTGATATTTACTTATCATGTCCAATGACCAAATATTACGCATTAAGATCAAGTTATGCTGTCCATGTAAAATTGTTGAAAAGCATTACAGTTTGCCGAAACAAATGGACAAGGATGAAACAATAGTTGTATCATCTTGGTCGTCCACACTTTTTTTTCCTTTAGCTTGATGTTTATACCCTTTGATTTTAAACAGGCACGTCCACTGTTGGAAGAATATGCCATTGATGAATTGGTTGACCCACGGCTTGAAAACAACTATAATGAACAGGAGGTCTACTGTATGTTGCATGCTGCCTCCTTGTGCATACGGCGGGATCCTCATTCAAGGCCTCGCATGTCACAGGTAAGAGAAATATTTGCAAGGAAAAAAAGTTGGTCATCTTGTAAATACTAATGCTCATTGATCTTGTGGCATTTATTAATAAGGCGGCTCAAATGGAGTTATAATAGTTGAGTATTAAGCTTCTGCAATTTGATAGAACAGTGTTAAGGCCAAGTTATTTGTGGTTGTGTTTGACGACAATGTAGAGACCTAAATCTAAAGTGAACCCTAGTGAGGAACTCTCAGAAACTGAAATGTGGAGTGACAAGACTTAGTGTTGTTAAATACGTTGCAGTATATGGTAAATGGAACTAAATTGGAAGCTGTGTGGTTTTTACATTGGAATAACTTTCCTTTACCAAGCTTCAAAATGCATCTTACAACGAGTAGCAATCCTTCAAATGCCATCTGTAAAAAAGCATTTTATAAGTTGAAGCTGGTTTCCAACACAAGGGTCTCCGACTCTCCGCTAGATTGTTTCATTGTCATCTTTATGGCTTTTTTGTGATAATTTTGGTCCGACTATTGCTTATGCATTTCGTGTTTGCATGTTAAAGGTGCTTCGAATACTGGAGGGCGACATGATCATGGACTCAAATGGCATGTCAACACATGGGTATGATGTGGGCAATCGCAGTGGAAGGATTTGGACGGACCAACAGCAGCAGCGACATCAGCACTACAGTGGTCCGATATTAAATGAGGCATTCGAAGGGTTTAGTGGGAAGCTCTCCCTTGAGTCACCAAGGCCACCTTTCTGGGAAGTAGATAAAGCCAGGAGAACTTCATGTGAGGAAGACTTGTAAAGAGCTTCCTCCTCTTGAAATGCATGCATGGTATTATATGCCGAAATTGTGGAAGCCTCGTATTTTTTTGTCCAATCCCATCTAGGTCTTATATTTGTATAGTAGAGGGAGATTAGGGATCGTAGGGTTTTGTGATGCGTTCTGAAATGAAGCAAATTGGCAAGATCTGAACCTACGTAGATAGGTTTTTGGTTGGATCAAAGCACAGCAGTCAAGCAGCAATTACAGCTTCATTTGTTCTTGAACGTGATTGTTTGCTATCTTTTCCATTCATTCCAAGTTAGTTCAAAAGGTTTACAATCAAGAAGTGTAAATGTTAATGTCACTGCTCTGTGCTCTTCTCATCGTGATTGTGTATCACGTCCATAAATAGTCAGTCGCTGTTTTGAAACTGAGCCTCCTAAGTCGACCTTGGAAGCTTGCAGCATTAACTAGGTCAAAGAGATTCGGGCTCGGAATGCCCTCAGCTTGCATATTTCAGAATCACTACATTTGTTTTAAATTTTACCTCTTTGAATGCTGAATTTCACGGCCACACTATATTTTTGAATTTCACTACTTCGGTGAATTTCATCATTTTTATGAATTTTTAACACCATAAACTTCTCATTCTTGAAAATTTAAATGATAAATTTTACTATTTTCATAGGCAAGTAAAAATGGTTGAATCACGTGAAATTTCACATTGAAGGGAACCACGAACAAAATTGTGGAAGAGGATTTTGATCTAAATATAAGATCGGACTTTTCATGAATAAATTTGAAAAATATTTTAAATTATTGGGTAGGTATGCAGCAATACTCAATAGTAAATAAGTTAGTGCTCACCTGTTACAGTTGGTATTAAAGTCAGACTTAATCCTTGATTCGTTGTTACACCGGGCTCGGAGGCATTCGAGTGAGCCTACCTGTGTAGGCAAGGTGAGACAACTGCAACGAGGGTGTTGCGAGTTCGAGCAGGGAAGAATGTTACAAGGGCACATCGGATCCGGATGAAAAGTGAAATAGGTATAAATAGGTAGATATGCAGCACTACTCAATAACTTAAACTTTTAGGTAAATGAACTAACGCCCACCCATTACACTAATACTATAATATTTACATATTAATACTATAATATTTACATATTATTACAATGTTATTTATCATTATTTTTTTCCTTCTCCCATCTCTCTAACTTGTCTCTTTTATATATATATTTTATTTTTCTTGTTTGATTTGTATCTTTTTTTCCTAATCATTGTTTGCTAATCCCTTTTGATATTAATTTTTTTTATAACAAAAAAAAATATATATATATTATTTAGATTGAATTTCCAATTAATAACAAATCAGATATGAATTTAATTCTAAATAATTCGTCGAGTTATTAAATCAAACATACTCTTATCAAAATTTAGATCAGATTAGACTTGAGCCGATCCATATTCAATCCGTTTACAAGCCTACTATTTACAAGAAACTCAACCTTCAAATCAAAAGAGATTTAATAAAATACTAATCCACGAGAGCTTTCAAACCACTAGAATCATGTAATGAATCAAATGATACCCCCACAACAGATTTTATGTACTTCCTAGCACTGCTGAGATTGTTAGAAGGAATTCATATGATGCTCAAATGAAAAACTTTGAAGCTGGCAATAAGCATGCATGGAATCGAGCTAAAGTTACTTTCTCTGGTTGAAAGTTTGATTCCCAGGTGACTTTAATATTGAAGTGCTAACCAAATTATGCATTATTAACTGCACTGAATGAACCACTTAAATTTGTAGTTTTTTCAGTAGTTCATAGAGTTTGGCAAAGTCCCCATGGGTTCTTTGTCATGGCAACACATCACCATACATGCACAGATGTACTCAATGAAGACAAAAAAAAATAAATAAAAACCCTAATTTAGTGTCCTTTGATAGGTAAGGTGGAAACTCTTCTAACTGTTCCTTGCTCTTTCAGCTTTCTTCTAAGATTTCCTCATCTTAGACCTTGCATACCTGAAGAGGATGATCAATGAAAATATTATTTAGCTCTGCGGTCACTATAGAATGTTATCAGCAAGGGAATGAAGTAGAAATATATAAAGAGTAGGAAAAGAATACTCTATGTGCATGCCACCACGGTCTGACGATGGTAATGTGCTTGCCTGAAGAGCATTCATAGCCTGATTTGCTTGTTCAATGTCCTGTCAAGAAGAAAACCTGTGGATGAGATCTTACGAACACTCACAACTCGCTTCACTTGGCTTTGAATCACTCTAAGATATAATAGTGTACATATTCTGAAAACTAATTTCTGTAATATGCTAAAGTAGCTGGTCGCCATTTGCATTCTGGTTAAAAAGAAAAAACTTTCTTTGGTCTACACAAGAAGCAGCTGGTCTCTTAATACCAATTGTTATGTATGAAAAAAAAAAAATTCAGATGTAATATGTTAAAGTAGCTGGTCGCCATTTGCATTCTGGTTAAGAAGAAAAAACTTTCTTTGGTCTACACAAGAAGCAGCTGGTCTCTTAATACCAATTGTTATGTATGAAAAAAAAAATTCAGACGGTACCTTAAAAGCTGAATTTTTTTTTTTTCATACATAACAATTGGTATTAAGAGACCAGCTTAATATTAAGAGTTTATGTTGTCATTAAATAATAATAATAACAATAATCCAAGATAAGTTTAGTTATAAATAAATTCCTTTTGAATAATACTCCATGATGAATATTACAGTAGTAATTAGATGTCCCACTGCATGTACAAAATTTAATTGCATACTTGCAGTTTAGCTGTATGTATACCTCAAAATCAGCAAATGCAACAGGCATTCCACCCCTAGCACGCACCTTGAGCAAGTTAAAGCCGGGATATCTGGTACCAAAAAGAATACAAATCAAGTACAAACATGCACCTAGTAATCCCAATTGACAAATTTGACACTGTACACAACCCTTAAGCAACATATGGACAAGATACGATTACAAACTTAAGTGGCAAACATCAACAGAAGAGAATAGAGCATTTTAAAAGAGCACATAAATGTCGATAGAAACAAAGATCAAAATTAGGAATTCTGGGGTTACTTACTGAGATAGAACTTGCTTCAGTTCATCTTCGGTGCAAGTAGGACCTAGATTTGCAATAAACAAAGTGGAACATGCTGAGACACCATCAACCGCTTTTTCTGTCTGATTCTACAATATCAAATAAAAAAAACAAGCAACAATTAAGACATCATCATAAAAATAGTATAGAGGCACTTGCTACACAAGTATCTGTTATTCTCTTGAAACTTGCACAAATTTCTAATTTATGAAAGAAGAACAGATTAAAAAATGGAATAATTTCCGTGGCCCGTCAAATGAATAACAATAAAAGTATATTACAAAATTCATTCATAAAAAGTTAAATCAACTCAAAAACCTCTAGTTAAGGCTTTCTTTTTTCCCCTTCTTTTCCTTGCTCTGATAATTATGACACACACATGTACCAAGCAAGGCCAGAACCCCCAACCTTCCATTTGGGAGTGGCAGGAGATAATACTCCAGCCTCTCTGCATGCGGAGGTAAGGCAGCATACTGATCCTCCCCAAACCCTGCAATGGCAGGAGCCTCGTGCACTGGGTTTGCTCTTTTAGGAGATAATACTCCAGCAAAGAGCTAGTGGCAAGGACATTTTTCCAAAAAAAAATTGTCACCAAAACACACACACACCTGCAGTATATGACAATAACAAACCCAAGGGACCAAAAGCAGACACAATATCCTACACCGAATAACAAAATCCAAATATTAATATTTTGCTCGTCAGAGTAATAGTTGCTGTTTGCTTTTACATGCCTATTTATCAATCTCAGATATATCACATGGATAAGTGTAAACTACTACACATTATTCCAATAGTACATTAAACTTCTAAGGTAATTAAGAAGGAAACAAGAGTGAATTATTTTTTTACTAACTAAGAACAAAAGAAAAATTATAATGTTGGTCATTCTGCTAATGACACAAATTACAAAGAATCTTCAGTGTGCAAGGAAATTTTTTTTACAAAGACAGAAAAAAGAAAATTTCTAAATTTTCACTCACATTTTCGGCAACTACAGCATTTTCGGGATTAATCTCTGTCTCGCCACTGATGATCATCAAACAGAATGGAATTAGATCCACCAGAGAGGATTGTAACATGCATGAACTTTAAGAATCATTTTTAATACTATATGACAACCATTGCAAAATATAAAAACCAGATTTTCTAACTAAAGAGTTATTCTGCTTTCTCAGAGTTTTCAACCTCTTTGCGATCTCTGAATCACCCTTGTCACCAGAATCGGGTTCTTCATTCCCGGACGGTTCATCAGATTCACTATCTCCTGTATGAGCAAAAGATGCCAACTTGTACTTGTTAGTCATAGAATCAAGATCAGGTAACACCGCTCCTTTATACAGATTCTCAAACAACGAGGCAAGCAATATCAAAGATAAATAGTGGATGCAATTAGTGGGCACGTGGATAAAGTAGTAAACATTGTGTCTGTGCGAGAGTGTTTGGGTGTGCGTGTGTTTGTTGTTATTGTTGTTGTTGTTTGTTGGGTGGAGGGGCATAACAAATTAACACTATGGGGTTGATCCCGTGTAAGGATTGTCAGCAGAATTGAAGTGCAAAAGATGAAAAGTATCAGCTTTTGTTTTTTTTAGTTACATTATTTATACAACATATTACCGTCATCACTTGATGTTTCTTGGGTATCAGCTGCACCATTAGTTCTTTTATCAATAACAACATACGCTCCACTTCCTGTGAAAACAAATAATGTTGACTGATCATCAACAAAGTAAAGGAGATCAAAAATATCAAAACAAACCAGAAACTTTCAGCATTTAATTAGTAAGGGTCTGCTAGGTTTGTCACTCAGAAAATAGTTTTTATTTTCAGAGAACTGAAAATCTGAATACTGTACAAAAACTCTGCTTGGTTTAGTTTTATGACGGTTATAAAAAAGGTCTGTTTTCAGATAGTTCTGTTATCTTTTACAGTTCTCTTGAAAACAGTTTGTTTTCTGAGTTCTTGAGAACTGTTTTCCGTGTGCCAAACCAAGCAGGCCCTAAACATCTTCAAATTCTAATATTGATCAATAAGACATATATTTGCATACCTGGCTTGCGTTTTCTCCTTGAGTTTGATCTGGCCAGTTCAATATGCAGAACGTAACTAGCTTGTGGGTCAAATTTTACACCCTGAAAAAAGATCATCAGAATCAGTGGATAAGATGCATAAAATTTTGAAAGCTCACTAAAAAATATCTCTGGTTTCGGTTTAAATCTCTGTTGGACCATCTCTATTCAAAGTGGACTTAAAGTCTTAAAATTAAAACCGGAAAAATTTTCATATAGTGCCTAAGTCACCAGATCTTCTCCTAACTTCGATTTTCTTTGGTTCTCTTGCTGTAACTGTATAATACATAGATTCGGATACACGTATTGACAACCAATTAGATGGAATGTTGGTGTATTTCTTTTTTTATTTGATAAGTAGTTGGTGTAATTTTTGAAACAAGAGGTGAATTGTCTGCAACTGTCAGAAACCTCGACAAAGATAAGTGTAATTTACCCAATTATATCCACCATGAAACCAGTATGATTCCTCCAAAAGTTATCAATTATAAGAATCATTATCAAATATTATTAATCAATGGATCGGATTTATATAGACAGAACCCAGATAAACCAATATGGATTAAAAGTAAGAGATATATCCAGTGATAAAGGTAATTTCTCACATTTAATGCATGAAGAGCTGCCATTGCTGATTGATTATTAACAAAGGTCGCAAATGCAATAACCTGCAAGAGACACATGAATTCTCCAAGGTGTTGTTACCTGCTTAATAAATTTTCTGGAAAAAGATTGAAGCTTGGAGCAATAAGTTTTTTGGAGAAAAGAGAGTAAATTAACAGACAAATGACAAAAAGTTGCTGTAAAAATGCGAGTGTCTACAATACTACTAAACGAGCTTAATCTCACACATCATGAACTAATAGCCCATCCGAATATGTCAAAGAACCTTGGGAAGAGAATTAAAACATAATTCTTGTAAAAATAAAAATAAAAAGACAAAATTCTACCATGACCAAACGTCAAATATACCTCTCAGTTTCATAGAAACATACCGAAGGTAACCATGAGAATGTTAAATTACTCTCTCTCTCTCTCTCTCTCTCTCTCTATAATGCACTTGAAGCAGCAAGCCGTGCTAGCTAATTAAATAAAAGGACCATTGTTTTTACCATTGGCTTTTCACTGAAAAATAAATAGTATACTGAACTTAACCAGAGGTTTTTAACAATTCTGCAGGCCACATTGGAGATATTCAAAATTACACTAATTTCATCTCCCTTTTCTATTTCATCGGCACATATATCTCCTCCATTGTTTGCCCATTACATCAACAAACAGTTGGATTGCATATACTAGTTCTTTATTGATCTTCTAGGTAGGTTTTGTATTCCCATGGATGACCCTCCTGTGTAGTTGGGATGCACTCATTTGACATTGTTGATACTGGTTCACTTCCCAGGAAAAGAAAAACGACTCCGTAATACACAGTTAGATATACATGTCTAGTCTAAATATTAACAAACCTACAAAAGTTCATCCATCAAACTAATCTTGGCAAACAATCCGATTTCTGAAAGGTGCCAATAAGAACAGATAATTACTTGGAAACCTCTTACCAATAAACAAATTAGTTGGAAACGGGATCGTCATACACAAACACAGAGACAGATATATGTATGAATATTAAATGAGTACAGTTAGCAGTCAAACACAAATGTCATACTACACCCATCTGGTTATTGAATCCTAAAAAGAAGCAGAAGCCCTAAAATTAGTGACACGCTATAACAAAAACATCAGAACATTTCAACTCTTAATGATCATTTAGGAAAACAAGCCCTAGAACAATCAAAATGTAACTCACAGAAATAGAAAATTACTTCAAAAAATTACACACACATAAATAGTTGTACCTAGAAAATAATTAAAATCCCGTAATAATTAAAAAATCTTAATAATCTAAATCGCTGCATTTGCTTTCTTATCATAAACTTTATAAATAGAATAAGTAAAAAAAACCCTAGAATTTTCGTTTATAACCATAAGAACGTTCGGTTTGAGATGGCTAAAAACAATCATTCGATGAGGGGTTTTCGTTATAAATAAATTGCTCCATCTACTATCTATCAGTAACCAAACGAAACACAGATTTTTTATTATATACATTTATAATTTTTCTGGACGAAAAAAAAAAAAACCTGAGTGCCGCGACCGGTGTACTTGAGCTGGCAAGAATCGAAGCCGGGACGGCGGCGAAAGAGGTTGTGGATCTCGCGGGCTTTAACGTCGTCGGGGAGGCCGGAGACGAAGAGAGTGTTGATGCCGCTTCGGTCCTTACCGCCGTACTCAGCCGCTTGTTGGGGGAGATAATAGGGATCGTACGGCTGCTGATGAGCCATCACGGCGTGCACCAGATTGTACTTCGCTGGGAGGAACGGAAGGGTATTTGTAAATCTAACGATGGATGGTGCCGTAAATCATCACTTCACTGAGGGGAGAGAGAGAGAGAGAGAGAGAGAGCAGAAAATGAAACAAAAGTGGATGTTGATATTGTTTCACAAAATTGAAATTTTAAGTGCTTTTTTTTTTAATTAAAAATTAATTTAAGTGTTCAGAAAGTCATTGTGACTAAACATTTTATTTAATTTTAATTGATATTTAAAATTTTAAATAATATATAAAACTCGTATGACAATACATTTAATTTGAAAAATACTGATTTCTATATCTAAATCTATATATTTATGTTAAAATTTATTATGTTTAATAAATTAAATATAAGTAGGTTGTGTTGGAAAATGTTTCAAAATATTTTTATAATATATTTTAAAATATATTTATATATTATTAAAGTAAATTATTTTGATTCATACCTTTTTAAGCAATCAAGTTTAAATGTGTTTACATCTGTATGAACAAAGGAGATGTTTTTGCACTGGACTCTTGGTAGTCTCAATGAATGTATGTGCATATATGTTTGATGATTATTTGTCTAATAGTTAGCCTAAAATCATATTTGATAAGCTTTCTATTATTATTTAATTATGTGAAAAGCTGTTGGAAAATATAATTGCTAAGATTTGTTACCATATTTGTATTTAACTTTCTGTAATTTCTTTATTATAAAATACTTGTAAATTAAGAATATTGTATAACAATTATTTTATATTCTCTATCTATTAAACTTTTTCATTTGACCTATAAATAGAAGTAATTATTGTATACAAAAATTAAGAGTATAATAAAGATATGTAGCCTTTTGGACTTTGTGTGTCATAGATGTAAGCCTTAATAGCTGAACCACATATATCCTTGTGTAACGTTGTTGTGACGACCCTGGTTTTTAGGCCAGTGCGTCTTGTGATGAACCGAACATAGATCTGATAACGAATCCATAATGCGAAAGCAGACGATAAAACAATGGTCTCTAGAGATATAACACGTCTCTAAGACACCAATGTGATCCTCAATGAGGTCACGGAACCCAAATAAAATAAATACGGAAGCGACGTTTCAAAAACGAATAAGAATGAACCTAGGAGCAAAATGGTCATTTTCAAAATAAAAGTAGGTGCTACCGAGCACACCATTGGAAAGACAACGAAAAAATAATAAACTTAGATTTAAGAATCACTTGATTTGGAGTTCGGACGAAGAAAATATGGCTAACGGAAGAAAAAAGGGTAAAAAAGTTAAAAGGAGTTAACCCAATACCATCTAACCGGTTACAAGACTTTCCTAACTGGTTACAAGGCAAAACAAAATGGTCGCAATGCTGCCACAAGTCATCTAACCGGTTACGAGAATCAGCCTACCCGCACAGTTGTACTACAGATCAACAAAAAGCTGACAGTTAGGGTTTTTTGGGGGAAAAAAATGGATTTTTGAGGGCCGAGATGACATTTTTTGGAAAAAAGTTGTGAAGTAACCCCGCCCAAAAAAAAAAAAATCACGTTTTCTGGTCAACCATGTCGAGACCAACATTTTTTTCTCAAGTGAAATACCTAGAATGCCCCTGTTGACCTTAAGGATTTCATCTAAGGACAATCTAGAGGTTTTGATGATAACAAACCATTAATGGTGTTTAAGGACTAATGTTTACATTGAGTGTTATAAATTATTCACATTCAAAGGATGACCTCAATGAAGCACGAAAGATCATTCCAAGTATTCTATTATTCAAGATCACATCAAGGAAAGCAATGGATACAAAGAAGACATGAAGTTGCAAAGAAACAAATGCAAAGTTCATCCAAAGATAGCTTGGATTACAACGAGTAAGAAAACAACTCAAAGAAAGGAAGAAAACAAATCTATCTAAAAGCCTACACGATCATGGACAAAGCGTGAAGAAAGGGGTAGATAGAATGATGAGTGTTTAGGATTCAATGTCAAGGTATTTATGATGAATCCATTTGAAGTTCATCTCTATAGGACCATGCATATCATATCATCATTCATATATTCCTATATATATTAGCAATAGACTATGCACTTTATTCATATATAATTGCACATGAAGTCATTGCTAAAGAGTGAGTTAGTTCAAGCTCGCATAAGCTTTGAAAGATCTCATCAGTTGTGCTAGAAATGATACGACCATGCACATCAATCATACAATTTATATTGGTCAACAATTAAGGCATGAGAAGCCTTCATTACCATGAGTTGGTAACGGACATTAGGACCACAGAAAGATCGTCATGAAAAACTGTATTTTTGGCTAAGTGTGAAAAATGAAATTTTGAAATAATGATTATTTCAAAATAATTTTTCCCGGTAATAACTCTTTATACTTCAACTAGCCTAAATTGATTTTAACATAATTTTTGACCAAGTCTACATTGGTCTACATAAGGATTCATTTTTACCAAAACTGTCGAAAATCCAAATTTGTAATAAAACTGAATTTCTACATTTTGATTTAGTTGGATTTCAATTTTCTAGTATTTTTTATTGAATCCAAATGGGGTTATTTCCTTATTTACATTGTAAACTTAAAATAAATGGACATATAAATACTGTAAAGACATTTAATTAAATATTTTCAATGGAAATAAGGTATGTGCAGATGTTCTGTACACAAACTGTCTCATCTGTTAACTTAGAACAAAATTTCCTGAAGCAGTAGTTTCATTTCTGCAGACCGAAATGTATAGGCAAATCATTTCGGACGACCGAAATAAAGGAGCAAATGAATCGGACGAACTGATTCTAACAGAGAGTTTTGGATCAAAGGATGAAGGTATTTCGGATGACCGAAACAAAAGGGTAAATCATTTCGGTCTACCGAAATAAAAAGTGATAGCCAACCTTAAACTATTTAGGACGACCAAAACACAATGGTGTTTCACTTCGGTCGACTGAACCTGCGCAGATTCAAATCTGAACGGTTATTTTACCTTGAAACTCGAGCACTACAGCTATGTTTTTAAATTGGCTGCATCAAACTCTATAAATAAAGTTGGGGACTTCGAGATTTAATGTTGCTATCATAGAGAAACATCATATAGCATCCAAAGAGCTTTTGTTCTTGTATTCATACATCCCATATCATTAGATGAGTATTAAGCTTCAATCTATTCATATATATACTATAGAGTGAGCTGAAAGTTGTACATCATCTGTGAGAGATATATTTGTACTGAAATTCTGATATTCAAATCTAAGGACCTTAAGGATTTCATCTAAGGACAATCTAGAGGTTTTGATGATAACAAACCATTAATTGTGTTTAAAGACTAATGTTTATATTGAGTGTTATAGATTATTCACATTCAAAGGATGACCTCAATGAAGCACGAAATATCATTCCAAGTATTTTATTATTCAATATCACATCAAGGAAAGTAATGGATACAAAAAAGACATAAAGTTGCAAAGAAGCAAATGCAAAGTTCATCCAAAGATAGCTTGGACTACAACGAGCAAGAAAACAACTCAAAGAAAGGAAGAAAGCAAGTTTACCTAAAAGTCTACACGATCATGGACAAAGCGTGAAGAAAGGGGTAAATAGGATAGTAAGTGTTTAGGATTCAATGTCAAAGTATTTATGAATCAATTTGAATCTCATCTCTATAGGACCATACATATCATATCATCATTCATATATTCCTATATATATTAATAATAGACTATGTACTTCATTCATATATAATTGCACATGAAGTCATTGCTAAAGAGTGAGTTAATTCAAGCTTGCATAAGCTTTGAAAGAACTCATCACTTGTACTAGAAATGCTAAGACCATGTACATCAATCATATAATTCATATTGGTCAACAATTAAGGCATGAGAAGCCTTCATTACCATGAGTTGGTAACGGACATTAGGACCCTAGAATGATCGCCATGAAAAACTGTGTTTTTTGCTAAGTGTGAAAAATGAATTTTTGAAATAATAATTATTTCAAAATAATTTTTCCTAATAAAGACTAGACTAAACTGATTTTATCATAATTTTTTACCAAGTCTACATTGGTTTACATAAGGATTCATTTTTACCAAAACTGTCGGAAATCCAAATTTGTACTAAAATTGAATTTCTACATTTTAATTTAGTTAGATTTCAATTTTCTAGTATTTTTATTAAATCCAAATAGGGGTACTTCCTTATTTACATTGTAAACTTAAAATAAATGGACATATAAATACTGTAAAGACATTTACTTAAATATTTTCAATGGAAATAAGGTATGTGCAGATGTTCTGTACACAAACTGTCTCATCTGTTAACTTCAAACAAAATTTCCTGAAGCAGCAGTTTCATTTCGGCAGACCGAAATGTATAGGCAAATTATTTCGGACGACCAAAATAAAGGAGCAAATGAATCGAACAAAATTTCCTGAAGCAGCAGTTTCATTTCGGCAGACCGAAATGTATAGGCAAATCATTTCGGACGACCAAAATAAAGGAGCAAATGAATTGGACGAACCGATTCTAACATAGAGTTTTGGATCAAAGGATGAAGGTATTTCGGACGACCGAAACAAAAGGGTAAATCATTTCAATCTACCGAAATAAAGAGTGATAGCCAACCTTAAACTATTTCGGACGACCGAAACACAATGGTGTTTCATTTTTGTCGACCGAACCTGCACATATTCAAATCTGAACGGTTATTTTTCCTTGAAACCCATACACAACAGTTATATTTTTAAATTAGCTGCATCAAACTCTATAAATAGAGCTGGGGACTTCGGGATTTAATGTTGCTAGCATAGAGAAACATCATATAGCATCTAAAGAGCTTTTGTTCTTGTATTCATACATCCCATATCATTATAAGAGTATTGAGCTTTAATCTATTCATATATATACTCTAGAGTGAGCTAAAAATTGTACATCATCTGTGAGAGATATATTTGTACTGAAATTTTGATATTCAAATCTATTGTAAAGCCTAAGAGAAGGTGTTCTCTTAGCAAAGGAAGAAGGAGCAAGTTAGCTTCAATTTGTAAGGGTTGGTGTGACCTAAAGGAAAACTAAGAGAGGTTGTCTCTTAGCAAGGTGAAGCAAAGAGTTGTTTTATGTAAATG